TTAACATAAACATAAATTGTTTTAATTTTGAAGTCTGAAGTTGTTTTCAGATCAGTTCTCACACGCCCACCTTAAAGATAATAGTTACGTCTGTAAACCTCCTCTGGATGAACCTTTCAGTTCACGGCCTGTCTTTCTCTCTTTCACACCCAAATTTTTGTTCTCCAGAGATGCTGTTGCCAAGATCCTGTACTCGCTGCTCTTCAGCTGGTTAACAGAGAAGATCAACGCTCAGGTGTACCCTCGCCAACACAGCCTCTCCATCTCCATCCTGGACATTTATGGATTTGAGGTGAATTTCCTTGACATAGACAGACCATCTTCTCACCTGTCTGTCACTTGCTCTTGTTACAGAGACTCCACTATAAACACTCTTTATACATGTAGATGAGACAGAAAGAATCACCAGATGTGTGTGTGTGTGTGTGTGAACAGGATCTTGCCTTCAACAGCTTTGAGCAGCTTTGCATTAATTATGCAAACGAGTACCTCCAGTTCTTCTTCAACAAGATCATATTCAGGGAAGAGCAGGTGAGTCCACGACACACATGCAGGGACACTCACATACATATTCACTTTTTTCTGTAACGCACATGCAGATCCAAAAAGACTGCAATTTGTGCTGAAACCATTAGTATATTCAGTGATTAGATGACCGACCAGAATGCTTTGTACATTGTGTTGTATGTGGTCCTCTTGCAGGAGGAGTACAGCAGGGAGCAGATCCCCTGGCAGGACATCCCATTTAGTGACAACCAACCTTGCATCAACCTCATTGCCGCTAAGCCTCATGGGATACTGAGGATTCTGGCTGATCAGAGCTCTTTTCCTCAGGGGAGAGAGGGAGACCCAAACCTGAACACACTTACTCACATGTTGTCAACACAGCTTAAATTCTTGTTGTGTCACTCCATTTGTTGCCAGGCAACAGACCACACTTTTCTCCAAAAGTGTCATTATCACCATGGCAACAACCCGCTGTACCTGAAGCCAAAGATGCCCCTCCCAGAGTTCACCATCAAGCACTTTGCTGGCCAGGTCACCTACCAGGTACACAGCTCCTCCCTGGCTCAGGTCAGGTGATCAAACCTGCTGTTTGCCAGCTGCTTGGCATTGGAATGTTTTTGATTGGCTGACAACACTGACAATCAATAGCTTCACAAAATGCCTCAAAAGGTCTGAAATTTTTTTTGTGCCTGTCATCGGCAGTAATATTGGTTATAACTAAGTGAGCGGAGGAGTGTGAACAGAGCAGCTGACACATGCACATTGACTTTTTGTTACTTCAGAGACTGTAAATGCTGTTCTTAGCCTTTGGAGCTGTTTTTTTTTTTTAAGATGAGCCTCACACTTTTCATGAGGAAGAAACATGAGAATAAAGACGGATACAGATAGCATAAGTGTAAAACATACAGGAAAATAGAATAAATTAACCAAAGTAGGGATCTGTTTACCATCCATAGAGCATTTCTGATAGAGTAATAATGTCATGATTCCTGACAGATTGTCTAATAATTTGTGTGAACTCTGCAGGTTTACAAATTTCTTGATAAGAACTATGACCAGGTCCGTCAGGATGTTCTGGACCTGTTCATACAGAGCAAGAACATGGTGAGAGGAGAGGAGCATCTTCACACCAACAGACATTGTCCATGCAGTGTCCTGTCATTCTGAAAGACCCTGCCTCATATAGACATTAGCAACTACAATAAATTATGTCAGTGATTGAATGTATGTGCACATTTGTGTGTGTGTCCAGATGGTGTCAAAGCTCTTCCTGCTTCATGCAGAGGTCATGGGTCAGCAAAGAGGAGACCACATGAGGAAGAGCAGTACCAGGAAATATCAAGCTCCCACTGTCAGCATCAAGTTCCAGCAGTCCCTGCTGGAGCTGGTGGAGAAGATGGAGAGGTGAACCCGAGAGGAGTGGAGATCTTTAGTCTTAGAAAAAACGGAAAGTTTCCACAAAATCTTTAATTAACCACATTAGTTGCAACAGAAAAGAAGATGAGCTATTTGCCGACAGTATTGCTCACTTGTTTTACTTTTATTCTTCCATCTCAGGTGCAACCCTTTTTTTGTTCGATGCATTAAACCAAATAATATGAAGGTAAAATACTGTTGCTGATCAACTGCATGCATTACTTTAAACTTACTGTAATTTGCAGGTAAAGTTTTCATTCATCTGTGCTCAGAAACCAGGTGTGTTTGAAGATGAGCTGGTGAGCAGCCAGCTGCGACACTCGGGTGTCCTGGAGACCATTAGGATCCGTAGAGAGGGGTACCCCATCAGAATGCCATTCCACGTCTTCCTCTTCAGGTAGTACACAGTGCAGTCAGTGTTAATCACTGGATGCTGGTGAGTGGTACTCATTCCTCCAGCAGAGCTCAGACACTTGTTAAATCTCTAAGAGCACTGAAATATTAAAGCTACTCTTTAAAACAGCTCAATCAATTTCTTTTTGTATGCAGCTTTGTGAGTGCATGCGAATGTGTGTCATCACCAGGTATAAGTCTCTAGTGGGGATACAGGATCTCCCAGCTGCCAACGGAGAGAACTGTGTGATGATGCTCGGCAAACTGTCTCCCCTCAGACCAGGGGCCTACCATGTCGGAGTCACAAAGGTGAGCTTCTCCTCCCAGCTGTCCATGCTGACGCTTGTACAGATGAATGTAAATCCACAGTTTAAGCTCTGGTGGTATCATGGAGAGAGAACGGTTATCCTGCTAACTCCACCTGTTGAGGGATGCCATGTTTTTTAATTCTGCACATCACATATGAGATCATTTTGATGTATGTACTAACAGATGTTACCATTACTCTGTCAAAGAGGGCAAGCTAAATGACAAAAACACTTTCCTGTATCATGCAGTACACAAAAACTACATCCTCAAAAATGATCATTCAGTTGAATCAACACCTCTTTGAGACAAAAAACTGAACATTATCACCTTCATTAAGGAGAATTTATTACCAGACTGACTGCATTAGTTTTAGCTAGGTGTACCTAATAATCTGCCAACTGTGTGTGAATGTCAGTTGTTTCTAAAGGAGGACATCTTCCAGTTGCTGGAGTTTAAGCGAGATCGCTCCCGTCATCTGGCTGCTCTCACCCTGCAGCGTTACACCCGCATGTTCTTCGTGAGGAAACGTTACGTGGCATTTCGCAATAGGATCATCAGGCTGCAGGCGCAGTGCCGAGGCTTCCTCACCAGGTCAGCTTGTCTGCTCCTGCTAATTTCAAAACTACCAACTGATTTGTGGACATCCACCAAGTAAAAACCCTGATGTCACTGATTTCAGAGACAAGCATTCATGTAAACAAGCCGTGGAACTTTTAATTTAGAAAGACAGAATGTCAGCCCACTCATTTTACTACTTTTATTATAAAAGCACAGTAGAGTAAAGTCAAATTAAGGTTTCCTTACAAAAACATTTTAATATTTTGTTGATATTTGACGTTAAAGGAACAAACACAGTAGATCCCACATGGCTCATGCTGTTGAGTATACTGTGGCGCTCCACGGGTTCGGATGAGCGGAGCTGGCCTGACCCTATCCTAAACTGTGACATCTAACTATCCAGCTGTGTGCTGGCACCTAGGCTGACATTGAGGAGAACACCTTCTCTGTCTTTTCTTAGCTTTTATTGAACAGAATAAGAATGCAAAATGAAACTGCAATATACCTGGCACCGTGTGCTCACAGGAAATCAAATCAAATCAAATCAAATCAAATCAAATTTTATTTGTATAGCACCAAATCACAACAAAAGTCATCTCAGGACACTTTACAAAGTAAGGTCTAGACCTTACTGTTATCAATATTATTACATAGGGAAAACCCAACAAATCCCCCTTGAGCAAGCACTTGGCGACAGTGGGGAGGAAAAACTCCCTTTAACGGAAGAAACCTCCGACAGACCCCGGCTCTTGGTGGGCGGCCTTCTGCCTCGACCGGTTGGGGTGAGTGGATAGAGGAGAGACAAAAGAAGAAAAGCAACAAGACACAACAATCAAACACTGATCAGGTCGATGTGGCTGGTGACTGCTTGTCAGAGACGTAGAGCTCCAGGGCCAGGGCAACCTG